CACGTTAAGAAGGAGCCGCTTCAGCCTTGCTCTCAGCCGGCCAGTCCGCCACTCCACACATACACACACAACCGGACAGACTGCGTGGACCAAGTTGGAGCGTCATTCAGCAGCCACAGCACTTGACGCGCCGCGATAGCCTCAGACTCGAATCACACATGCAGTAGCGGCCGCATAGAGACACCCATTTCCCACTTGCATTGGAGGTGGCGACTGGATGTTTGTGGTGGATGTCGATGTTGCGTACTGTAGGAAGATGTGGTGGTATCGTTTGGCTGGTGTTTATCTAATGCAGCATCACGGGTTTTATATAAATATCGCCTCCTCTACTTTGTTGCTTCAGAAATATCTGCTTTCTTCAGATTCGACCGATTGTGTTCTTGACTTACAGCAGGTGGGATAACTCATGAAATGCCAACCGAAATTCCTAAATGCGTTTTCGTTTCGAAAAGATTAATTAAGCAGGGTTGTAAAACTAATCATTGTGCAGCAAAATTCTCTAATAATTCGGTTACTGCTGGGTGTCGGCTTTCAAGAGAACCTTTTTTTGGGTTTCATGCGAAAACCACACTCTGTAAAGAATTAATGCTTATGTAACATGCATTTTTCCCATTGATTTCCGATGTCCTCAAAAATTCAATTATATTTCATAGAAAACGTGCAGAAAAACATTCATTCTTCTGCTCATGCGGTAGAAAATTGCGTTTGATTCCAACTTCATACTCGAAGGAAAGGTATTATTCGGTTTACAAAAAATTTCTCCAATTCCTGGATAATTTTGAACCCGGACCTGCCGCTACGCTTGCATTCGGGGTTTCTAAACTACAGGCCGTATATTTCCTGTATATTGAAGCCCATACATTTCTCTACGGTATTCAAATGGAGACCACATGAGGTTCATAAAATTTAGCGATGGATTTGAGCCAAATTTTTGGCTTTACAATCAACGTTGGTAAATGCAAGAACATTACGTTTTGTGAGCGGCCATTTCACGGTATTAAAAAGTCTCAAAATTAGAAGCTTTTTCAAAACCGACTTATGCCCTTCCTTCGAGTACAAAATGGGAAAACGCAATTTCCTCCCAAATAGGTAAAAGGATGAATATTTTTATGCATGCTTTCCATGGAATATAATTGAATTTTTGAGGGCATCGAAAAACAATGAGAAAAATGCATGTTACCTCAGTAGTAATTTTTTTACAGAGTATAGTTTTTCTGCACGCAGCCGAAAAGATGTTCGTTCGAAAGCCGGCACCCTGCAGTAACTGAATTATAAAGGAATTACGCTGCATGAGGACTAATTTCACAACCCTACTTAGTTAACCTTTTCTGAACGAAAACGCATTTCGGTTGACATTTCATGAATTAGCCCACCAACTGTACATGCATTACCCAGACATGGCTCGTTCTGTAAAAAATGACTACATATGTGGCGTGCATTTTCTCATTGATATTCGATGCCCTCAAAAATTCAGTTATATTTCATGGGAGACATACATAAAAAGATTCATTCTTTTGCTCATTCGGTAGGAAATTACGTCTTTTTCTAATTTGATGCTCGAAAGAGGGTATGACTCGGTTTTCAAAAACTTTTCCAATTCCCGAATAATTTTGAACACCGGCCTGCCGTTACGCTTGCATTCGGGGGTTTCTAAACTACAAGCCCTATATTTTCGCGTACGGAAAACCAGACATTTTTATACGTTATTCAGAGGAGACTATATGGGGCTCATAAAATTTAGTGGTGGAGTTGAATCATATTGTTTACTTCACAAGCAGCATCTGTAAATGCAGAGACATGAAGTTCTTTGAGCGGATATTTCCCGGTCTCAAAGTCTCATAATGAAATTTTTTAAAAAAACTGAATTGTACCCTCCCTTCCAGTATAAAATTTGAAGAAAACGTCCATTTCTTCCAAATGGGTAAAAGAGTAAATATTTTCATGCATGTTTTCCATGAAATATAATTAAAAGTTTAAAGGACATTAGAAATCAATGGGACGAATGCATGCCACCAGGGTGGTCATTTTTTTAAAGAGTATAATTTTTGCATGCAGCCGGGAAGAAGTTCATTCGAAAACCGGCATCCTGAGGTAACTGAATTATTATAGAATTACACTTCAGACTGATTGGTTTTATAACCCTACTTAATTAATCTTTTCGGTTGACGTTTCATAAGTTAGCCCACCAACTGTACATGCATAGCCCAGACATGGCTCATTCTGTAGAAGAAACGCAAGGTCTGGACCGCCGGCCAGTGGTGTTCGCCGAAAAACGAGGCGCAAAGAAGACAGCAGTCCTGGAATCAAGCAGCACGACAGTGGCTCCAAAGCACGCAAAAGCCCAGTCACGTGTTTGGCCTTTGAGGGACATTATCTCCCCTGCCCCTTCCATGTTTTTTCTCGGTTAATCCGCGACAGCTGGGTTGTCCTCAACTGAAGGTCACACTGGGGACACTCCATTAACGGGCTGCGACACCCATAGTTCAGAGTAAAAAAGAGGTGATAATGTGCTCAGTTGCGCACGCAAGACGTCCCAGTCACGAAAATGATGGCAACACCACGCCCCAAAAAACATGTTATTTCATAAAAAGTGATCATTAAAAATAAGAGTCTTAATGAACCTTTCTATGAAACGCAAAAGAACAACGGTGTGAATATGACTCAATATCGTGCGGACGAACGCGGTTTAAAACAAACGGGCCAAGCAATAGTGCCCTTTCATTGAAGTACCCTGCTCAGAAGAGTTAGGGACGCCAGTCATTGTGAGTGGGCCTCTGAGTTCAGTAATTGTTTCATACGTTTTATCAGAATGCCTTCTATTTGATGGCGCATTTTCATAAATGTCGGCTAGACCGCAGGTTGTAGCCAGGAATGGGGAAGCGAAAGGCGACCTTAGCCGTAATGCTAATCTTAAACGTTAACCCTAACTCTAAGCGAAATCGTAACCGTAGCCCTTAGACATAGCCCTAACTATAAAACCTAGCCGTAATACTTAAACCTAATCGTAAACTCAAACCCTAAGCGTAGCCCAAAAATTTAAGCCTAAAGGGCATAACCCTAATCCGAAAATCGGACACCACTAACCAATACCCTAATCCCAAGCTCAAACGTAAAACGGAAACCAAATGGGTCAGATGTGGTTATGTAGTCCCACAGCAAAGCCCCAGTAAACAAACCCCCAGCAAACTGTAATACGGGGTCTGGCTACCAACTGTGATCTAGCCCATATTTCTATCGACAAAGTACGTACGGAAAAGTGCTGTATAGCAAGTAGGACTATTACGGGTCTAGATCCAAAGTCGTGCCCAACTTCATTATCAAAAGGTGAGAGACACATTGAAGTCCGTTCACCGATGTCAGGGTTGCTACTTGAGTCATAACTCCGGTCTGTCTTCGTCAGGGGGGATAGCGCAAAACCCGGGACGAGGGTGGGAGGCATCTCCAGTGGGCAGCCCCAATTCTGGAAACCCCGTTGTCCTTGCCAGGGTCATACTGCTCGTACAAACTATTAACATACATATCTTTACCGCTCTAGTGCCAACGCATCGTAAAACAGCGCAGACAGGGCTTTGGTTGAAGGCGGATGTCTTTGCACGTCCATGCCACCTGCAGAACCGAATTTACCACATCCGTCCACCCTAAGCCAACCCAAAACAGCGGTACCTGTACTCGGTACGACTGCGATCATGCCTGATCTGGCCGGCCCCGATGATGTCCCGAAGTGCACTTTTCCGCGCGTGACTATCCGCGGCAGCAGATCTGGACAGTTCTACTCATTCCCTTCGCCAACGACGGAGACCGAATACCGAAGGCCCAAGAACTACCTCCATGTGTTCAACTGTGTCGAGCCAGATTTTGAACTGACCCCCTCTTCGACGCCTCCACTGGCACAACGGTGCTGGATCGAAGGCAATAACACTGATCTCCTGCGGTGGACGACGAAGAACAACCACCTCAGTCGTCTTTCTTGGATGGCCTGAGTTATCCTTGCGATGTTGTCGCAGCGAGCGCGGACTGTCTCATTTAAGACGAAGTTGGTATACTTCACTTGATGGATGGTCCTCAAGCAGTGGTGGTCAAATACCTCCATTTTTCGTCCGTCCTCCACACACACAGCCCAGCATTTGCAACCATAAAGAAGGACAGACGCACGGTACACGCGGATCTTAGTGGCGATGGACAGGCCGCGTCGGACCCATAGACATCTTCTAAGGCTTGAGAACACCCGTCGGGCAACATCAATTCGGGAGACAACGTCATCCTTGCTCCGGTCATTCGACGGCGTGAAGTTTATTGAAAAGGGGAGCTGCAGGGAGTGATTTTGTGGGAGAGTCCAACCTTCGGACCCGACAGAACGCGCAAACCCGGGATCTAAAGCAGTCATCTTAGCCATATCATCTGGCCAGCACTGCTTCCAAAACAGGACCTCCTCGCAGGGCAGCAAAAGACAAAATGGATCCCTCCGAAGGTCGTTGGACTTTAACACTCGGCCAACAGGGCGGAAAACGTCGCATCTGGACAAATTGCAGCCCTATGGTAGAATGGTTTTAACGGCGCAGAACAATAAAGCCGAGGAAGAATGTTGTGCTACACAACCGCAAGAATCTGACGAGACACGTGTCTGGACTCTAAACTAATACATGAGTTGGAAGCACGTATAAAGGGTTAGACAGAAGTCTGCTGCTAGTCCTCGACACTCGGGCTGTTAGCGATCATTAAAGAGGAGGAAGAGCTCCGTCATAAGTCCACGCCCATTACTTCCCAATAAACTGAACTGGTAAAAAAGGGCCGATGATAACAATCTTCCCCTCCGTTCGGAACCAATAAACACACCCCAAGAAAGCACGGTTAGAAGACATAAGAGGTGTAGATCAATAATTGGCAAAATGCGATAAGGTGAGGCGGGATGGGGAGGGCAAAAATGAATAAAATAGGACAGGAACTTAGGGAAAATGCGAGAAAACACGAGGATTCGGTGCGCTCACGTTTTGCAGCGCACTTTACATGGCTCCAAATTCCTGCATCCACTTTTCGTACTTTTCAATATCTGACATTGAAACAGATTTGGAGACACGAGATATGGCCTCCTCAAAGTCCACCATGCGTGTTGGAAGGTTTAGATCAGATGTGTTCAGGCCCTTGATTTCTTCCACGGAGAGGCCCTCTATTGCGCGTCGCATGGACATCATCGATGCGTCTCTGCGTAGCAGGCATGCGAGAGAGGTGAGAACAAAAAGGTAATGTTTGGAAAAATCCAACAAACATGCTCTCAAGTAACAACGACTACTTAAATGACGATGGCAGATGCACGACATCGTGCACTTACTCCAAAACGCGGGAATATTGGCCCTAAAAAGAAAATATTACCAAACCTGACAATTCGACCGTCGTTACCGAGGATGCCAACGGAATGCCTCACGGTATGGTGGGCGCGAGGGGATGGCGAAATGCGTGTGAATTAGTTTATGGCGATAGTGGACTTGTGTGGCATCTACCGCAATCTCCTCTCCCTCATCCTCCTGGACTAGGGGTCAAGGCGGAGCCGGAGGCGGGATCGGACGCAGGTAGTCGGCGCGGCATGGGCATGCACCTAGGCGTGTCTCCCATACCTCCCATGTATGGCATTTATTATGAGCATGCAGCCCAATAACGCATGTAGGACCCTGATCTGGCTCCTGTGTTGGTCCGGCGCAACTCACGCGTGGCCCCCCGGTAGGTAGCAAGCCCACATACATTTGATAATGTACGTCCAAAAAGGTGAAATATTATCCCGGTTAGGAAGGATCACCTAAATAGGCACCTAACACTGATTAGTGTGCAGCGTAATCCCTTAATATTTCGTCCACTTCATGATGTTAATTTGAAGATGTGGGTCTTTCTGTCCATCTCCTGAAATCACCCCAACTAAAATGACTACTTGAGTAGTATTCATCTTTCCATTAATTTTAGACGTCTCTGGAAGTTAACAAGATTTCCTAGGGACCAGATACAAAAATTATCCCTTCTTAGAATCTTTTTGTAGAATATTAAATCTTTAGCATATTTTATACGTGGTGGAAGAGTGCCATCCAATTTAAAAATTCGTATATTCCAGAAAAATTTCGAACACTACCTGCCGTTATGCTTGAAACTAGGGTTTCCAAACTACACCCTATACATTTTCCATCAAAAGGAAGGTCGTAAATTCCGCCATACTACTGAAGAGATGCTGTTTAACGCCCAAAAAGCTTATGCGAGATATGGGCCACGTCATACTTTAAGGGCACCCTTAATAAACGAGGAGATGGGAGGCTACTTCAAGAATTATTTCACGAATTGCGAACACTTTCAAAAGCGGGAGACAAAACTTCTCAGTGTGTAAAATATGAAGGAGACGTAATTTATAACAAAACAATTATAAGACGTGACACGTTTGTACATCTCTTCCATAAAATACTTTCGGATTTTAAAAGGCATCGAAAATAAATGAGAAATAGGCACACTGTTCGAGCAGTGATTCTGACATATGGCCTGGAGGAAGCGAATCCTTGCATGAACGAAGTACCTCGTGGATTATACTGCACAGCCCTTAGCATTACAACGCCATCTACGTGATCACGCACTCCGCCCACGCGGCCAGGTGGCGCAGCTCACATCGCCGCGAAGTACAAACGACGTCACCACGTCGGGAGTCCATTGTGGGCCAGGCAGCACAAACCAGACGTAGTCCCTTCCGCCCCTCCCTCACGGCACAATGTCGAAATCTAAGACCAACAAATCTACCATCCCGCCGTGATCGTGCCGTCGTCCTCCTTTAAGCAAGAACCTGGGATGCGCATATTCTCTTCCATTCATGAACATTTCTAGATGACGTCAAATTCGTTATCTGTACTGCACGTCCATCGACAGGCACAACGGATGCTGCGAGGTGGGGAGGGGCGGGCAAGGGGAAATCCGCCATCAACACGGCGCAGCCACAAGTGGTGGGATAACGAAACAGTTCTCAGTTCCGACGGAGGCGCGCCTGTGGACCGGTTCGTTGCCGGGCTGGCAAATAACAAAAAAATCACAATGCATAGCGAGATAAAGACACGACGAGTGACGTCAGTCAGGCCTGCCCTCTCCACCTTTGTCCGGCATGGTACAGGAGCCTTAAACGGGTGTGCTGGATTGCGAGAGGGAGGGGGGGGGAGAGGGGGTAAAGACGTCCAAGATCAAATTCAGACAGCACAGGGATTAGCGCGTTAATCATACTGCTCCACATAGTCACTGCCCGCCAGGCCAAGAAAAAAACGAGTTTTTGGATAGGCGGGGGTGGGGGCTATGGCCAGGGCGCTTTGTTTGGCCTGAGGGGGGGGGGGAAGGGAACGTCCTACCCATAAACAAAAGCACCGACCGGATGGGCCAGAAGTGGCCTTTTATAAGGTCATTTCATCCCGAAGTCACGTGGTTATGAGATGGGAAGTAAGGTGTGGCTATGTAGCCCCACCTGATGGAAACAATACTGTTGGAGTTGGGAGATAGAGGCTAGAATTAGGCCTTAGGGTTAGAGGTTAGGGCAATTATTTCTCAACCACTCAAACTATAGCCACGCATTCCCAATAGCTTTTTTTTGCACACAACCACTTGACCTCGTCGCCCTGTGCGTTGCCAGGCCCCACCTTTAAAAACCCGCCTTACCACCGGTCCTGTATTACAGGTGGATAGGTTTTGTTTACTTCAAGTGGGACTACGCAACCACATCTGATCAGATGACAATATGTGCTCACTTTACAATTCTTTTAGTAATTCATATATTATTCGAGGAAACACGCAGTTCTAAAGAGTTGAATGGTTGAAAAGTACACTGTTGGCTAAAACCACTTCCTACAACGTCAAACATGCCTGAAAAAAACAGGCTGACGATGGTTCGATGTGACCCAGCACTGAACTCACCGAGAATAACTCCACAATTCTTTCAGAGTGGGATAAAAATTGGCTTATCCAGGCATAGAGCCATCAGAAAACTAGCATAGCAACCGAAACATGAGTACTGGTCTCCCCGGAGGCAAAACTCTATTGGTTCTCGATGTGGTCCAGAAGTCACATGAAATTCCTCTTTGCAATCTTTTAACGGGTTGGCAATCGCTCCCTGAGGCGGCGAAGGTTGGAATTGTTGGCACTTGCAAGTCACGAAGGTTACGACCCATAGAAATGAATTATCGACCCCCCGATTCAGGATATCATGCATGGATATCAAGAATAGACAACGGAAGAAGTGACCAAGCCATCCTTAATCTGGTTCCACCTACCTAGGAATCACAGTAAAATTGGATGCGTCTGAGACTTCTGGCGTGGCAAACTTCAAAAATTTTGACCTATTTACAGACGGGAAAATCTGGTCGATGATCTAGCAAAAGAACTAGCGTCCATATATTAGACGCCGGGGCTAGATCACAGTTGGTAGCCGGGCCTCGTATTAGAGATGGTTGGAGGTTTGTTTACTGGGGCTATTTTGTGGGGTTCCATAATCATATGTGACCCATTTGGCTTCCGTTTTACGGTTGAGGTTAGGATTAGGGTACCGGCTAATAGTTTCCGATCTTCGGGTTAGGGTTATGCATTTGGGCTTAGGTTTTCAGGTTACGATTAGGGTTTGAGTGTACGATCAGGTTTCAGTATTACCGTTGGGTTTTTCAGTTACGTCTATGCCTAAGGGCTACGGTTACGTTTACGATTTCGGTTAGGGTTAGGGTTGCCGTTAGGGTTAACGGTTAACGTTTAATGTTGAGGCTAGGGTTAGGGTTAAGGTTAGGATTAGGGTCGCCGTCAGTTTCCCATTCCTGGCTACCAACTGCGATCTAGCCGACGCCGGGAGTGAGAAATTTTAGCGGATAACATCGTGTCTTTACGGAAGAAATTGGGATGACGGCCAGTGATCTGAGCTATAAATTCGTTTAGGTTGCAAAGTTGAGCAGACGTCGTACACTGGAAGCAGGATCAGTAAACTTGCGGGTGTCAAAGTAAACGTGCGTCGGGGATGGAGTCTCAGAATGTAAACAAGAAAAGAGCCTTTTTAAGGAGAAAAGAAAGGATTGTTTTCAACACTTTAAAGAGCCAACTTTTTGAGCAGGTCAGTGGTTGCGTGGAAACAGTAAAATATGCAACAGCGAAGCTGCCTCTGGTGGTTGGTAAACCACTAATGCCATGAACATAAGATAGAAGGGTCAAAGACGATGAAGCTCTTGAGAAAGTGGCCGCTGTGATGTTCTTGGAAACTGCATTATACAAAGTAGCCAACCTAAAAAGTGTCAGGACTAACCACACTTTCATTGCCACGTTTGGCATCTGATAAGCCTTAACTGCATTTAAACAAACATAGTTGTTGTTGTTGTTGCGGAAAACGCGAAAAGTCCGGCAGACGGGGTCTGTCTCAATTACAGTTTTGTGCTTTTTGGCTACTCTCGACGCAGGCAAAGGTATTTTTTTACCGACATTTTCAGGTTAATCTAACAGGGTGCCAAGAGCGAGAAACCATGTAATTCGCAAAAATTGATAACAGATGCTTCCAGACGAATCAGAAAAGTCAGAACCTGAAAAAACACTCTTCGCTCAAAAATCGATAACCGGTGATCACAGTCTGATGTAAGATAGCGTGATAACAGCTAATAAACATATAACTCGTTAACCGTGCAAGGGAGAAATGCAATCTAATCTAAGTCATCGACCGAATACCTCAACTGAATTCACACAAATCGATTACTGGCGTTCTTCACTAAAACTGGAAAGTGTGATAACCGTTAGTCCACGTCAAAGAAAAAAAATCGATAACTGTGTTCGCAGAGCAATTTAACAACAGAAGAGGATGGCTCAAGTCAAATACAACAAAAATCACACAATAATCGATAACTGGCGATTCCAATTCGGACTAACAAATCCGTAAACTTGAGAAAGGCGTCATGAGTGGGAAAAGTGGTAATTACTGATGCCAGCAAAATCTGAGAGCCGTATTGATGATTTTATTAAACACTGCTTCCATCGCAATTTCTGCCCTGTCCAAAGTTGCCCCAAAAGAAGAGTGTTTCACAATCCCTAAATGTAACGAAGGGGCATGACATTCAGACGAGAACCAGTAACGAAAGAATGTGGAAAAAACTGGACGACATGACGCATTCCAGCGACGCAAAATTGGCGCCACTGTGTCATCTTACAAAAAGTAACCGTAACGGAAGACAGGGACGATATATGCATGCAAAAATCGCCAGATTAAGGGTAAAGAGTGTGGCAAGAAAGTGAACATCGAATGAAAAAAAACAAATTCAAGAAGCTTTCTAAAGGGAGATTTGACGTGGCAGGAGAACAGGAAATTAGGTGGAAAGGGTAACATCTTGGCGTTACAGGGAAGATGTGACCTCTTTGGCAAATATCGACTAATTCAGGATTGGAAGATGGTCCCAGTTGAAAGACACACCGAACGGAATTCCGTCTACTAAATACACGATCAGTTTCAGGCAACCATACTGAGACATGATCCAGACTTTCGTTAGGAAGATGGTGTCGACCTCGTTTTCGACAGGGTGACCAGCTGACATATCATGGGCGTACTCAACACACAAACAGGCGTGGGGTGGTCTCAAATAATCAACATAAAACGAAAAACGGATGGAACCCCAAGGTGTTCCGCAGTTATTAAAAAAAATCAGATTTACGGTTCATAGGCTAGATAAATTAAGTTCGCAGGAAAAAAAGAACCTGCAAGTGGGAAGACATTCCATCAAGGGAGTCGGACCTATGCGGTTCATCGAAAGGCGACGTGGAACAAGACTTAGGGCTAAGGAGTTGTCAAAAAGTGCATATGCCTGCGAATGAAACATTAGTTAAGGTCTCCTCTTACGATGGATCATGCAGCAGTTTCACTGGACCAAAGCGGAGGACAGATCAGGGCTCGGTGCGCGTTTCTATGCTGCGCACCCACAACAAATGCCATGCATGAGTGGGGGAAGGGGTCGTACAGGCACGCCTAGGCGCGGGCCTACGCCGCGCCAACCACCTGCGCCCGATCCCGCCCCCGGTCTTCTTGGATCTATCTTGACAGCGGGCTCGGGAGGGTGCGGTAGATGCGGCGCAAGTCTACTATCCTTACAAACTAATTTTTGCGCAATCCGCCGTCTCTGCACCCACCCTGGGTGTGGAGCACACGGTAGACATCATCAGTAACGACGGCAAAAATGTCAGGTGGTCCAAGCGCAGGACGAAGCACGAGAGCAACGGTATCTAAGGTACCGCGGTCTGGCTTTATATGGCAGTTGTGGGGGTATAAGGAAATGGAGAGAGATACCATCTGGGGCAACGGTTCAGTCAGCCTCCTCGATCCTCGAAAATTAACCACTGACTTGAAGTAAACCAGTCTATTTGAGACTAATGGACGCAGACTGAGATTTGACGTGAATATTTGGGCTACAGTCCATCAGCCACAACTGCAGTTTCAAAACTAGAGTATTTACTAGAGAGCACAGAGGGAACGCTGGAGGATCCACTGATGAGTCGAACCTCTTGCAGCTGCATCAAGAAGTGGTAGAATATCGGCAAAACGCTATGAAGATGTGTCTGAACAGGCGTACTCCAGCGAGGTTTCGGGAGTATCAAACATATGAAATGGGGAAAAACATATCCAAATAAATAACAGCAAAAATTGCCGATTTTTCGAGGTTTGAAACGTGCATGCTGCGTGCTAAATTTCGGAACAACCGTTTCTTGTTATTTACCAACACTAATCTGCAACAGTGAAGTTGACATTGTGTAATAATAACCTTCCCCTTAACATCAATTGGTAGACATCCTCAAGGTTTTGGACACTCGGGTGCACAAGACTTTGCTCTCCCCGCTAAGTTGCAGACGGTCGAGAATGCACCTGTCTGGTGAGCGATTTTTGAGGTCGGGAATCAAGACAGGCGTATAGAAACCTATCTATAATTCGATATGTTCCAAGAAATAAATCACATTTTGCGCCTGGTTCCAAAATCTTATCGACAAGAGGAAATGCATTATCCCTTTAAGACTTTCAAACTCTTCAGTCAAGCGCATCAAGCATGTATTGTAGGGTCACAGAGAACGCTGGAAAGGCGCGAGCCGCTGACCTTTGCTCACATAAAATGCCACTGAAATGAAGGCATCTGCAAGAACTGTTATCTGTGGAGCCATTGGACGGAGCTCGCAATCCTTGATCGTGATTAGCCGTTGCAGGCCGTGTGACAGTCTGCGGGCTTTCGCCATGCGAGCGCTGTGTCCTGGAGACGCTAGAGCGTTTGCATTGCGGCACCTCGGTGAGAGATTAAGCCTGGAGTAGTTGAGGCTACTTTGAATCCACGCCTGTCTGATTTGTTTATGATGTCAAATACTAAGGTACAATGCAGGGCGGAGCATCAAAAGACGACAAATGGGATCTTCGGGATTTGTTTGTTTAATCCCGTGCCACAAGCGCTTAGCTTGAGTGGATAGTTCCTCGTTGGACCATGTAAGTCCTGTGAAAAGAAAACGGATAGGACTGCCCTTTCCTAATCTTGCATCTACAAGCATCCAGGGCCTTAGAATTGTGTGCGTCCGCTATGTCATGTTTCAGCAAACCATGGCTCTTGCAACTTAGTGTGCGCTTGCGCCACTCTCACTGGGTAAACAGGGCGTGTGCATGGTTGCGCAGTGAGTTGTGTCATCCTCTTCTCTTTCTGATCACTTTTTGCTGTTGATTAAAAATCCAAGTCAGGTGTTTGTTGTGGACCAGGAGGTGTTGAGTGGAACGCCAAGGTGCGGGCTCGACCTGCGCCTCCCCCCCTGCCTCGGTCTTCCTGACCCTGACTCAGGTGGAGAGGAAAGAGTGCGGCAGATGTAGCGTAAGTCTACTCTCACTATAAACCAATTTACGCACATGTCGCCGTGACCTTGCTATGGAATACACGTTAGATATCGCCAGACACAACGGCCGAACTGCCATCACCGTTATTACTAAACAACCCAACGCCTATGTGCGGTGGCAGTCCGTCTGGCCGACTCACATATGCAAAATCGTTCCTTATATACTCCGCGAGATGAGTGAGGATTCATGCGTGAGAGATACATACAGACCACTGCACGCAAGGCGTAAGTGCATTACTATCAGTCAGCTTATAGATTTTATCAGGCAGTTTTGCCTAGACTGGCTAATATCTAACAAAGAGCCTTTCGAAGAACGGTTCGCATGCCCTTCTCTTGTCTCGAGAAGTTTTCACATTCTACACGACTCCTGCTGGCCAGTTAATAGCCGTTCAAGGATGATCATACTTGGATTTAGGGTAAGGATAGGTTGCGTAACCCCACTGAGTTTAGCATATACGGGTAACTACTATATTTGTTTTAGAACGCCTTGTTTTGTTTATTAATTCAGGGTTAAGGGAGGTTTCCTGTGTGTTTTCTAACTGGTTCACGCGCAAGCACCATGCCTGCTCTCACCTTGCTGTCGAACTGACATCATGCAACCTATGTGATATTATTACATGCACGGATATAGGACGAGAATTACTAAACTTTCTAGGGATTGCAGTGCTTCTGACAATACGCCAAGCACCAGAAACTTTACCGCAAAACGAATGAAAACCGGTGTTAGCTAAGTAGAACAGAACCATCCGTTTGACCAGCTATTGGGCCACAGACTCTTGGAAGGTGCTCCTTAACTACGGTCACCGACACAGGATGCCAAACAAGTAGTGATGGTAAAAGGTCACTTGAACGACGATTTGACTCATCGATTTAGTGAGGGTGAGTCTCCGTCAACATGCACCAATGAAGTGCCCGCGATTTTTCAGCCTATCCGCAGACAGCTGAGAAAAAAAAGTGCGGAAGAGGGCGGGGGGGGGAGAAAGCTGGACAAAAAGAAGCTGTTTACTTCGGTGATGCCCCCTCCCCACCTTAAATGAAGGCGTCAACTGCCGACACGCGAGCCCAGCTTGTTGTGTCTCTCTTCGAGACCGTAAAACTTGAGGGGAAAATCCTGCCACAACAGTTTCCCGAGGGAAACGATACCAAGGATGCTGCCCAGCAAAACATTCGAGCATTTAAAAGGAGGGTGGGGGAACACTGGTCACGAAATCACAAAACAGAAAGGTGCTTTGGGCGGTGCATCCGCAAACATAATTTGCCGTTGAAATTTAATTAACAATGCTGGCTTAAAATTGGAGTACATTTTTTGAGGAATGGATATTGGATAGAGGGATTCGATATCGGATATTTTGCTAAAATGAAAACTTCATATTGACCCAACTGTGAAAAACTCGGCGCCTCGGTCGGATCCGAACCCATGACAGCAGGGTGAACGCTTTAGTACAGCCAACACTCTAACCATCTGAGCTATGAGGCCCCGCCGGACGACGCAGGTTTTATCACATTTGGGCCGAGTTTACCCGCCCAACCTACTGCAACGCTTGGAATCCACCAAATCTGATGCAGAAAGTTGACTGCCAAAGCAGGATTTCCTAAGTACAGTAGATGTGCTAACTCATGAAATGTCAACCAAAATTTCGAAATGCGTTCTCGTTTCGAAAAGATAAATTAAGTAGTGTTGTAAAATTAATCATGATGCAGCATAAATGTATAATGGTCCAGTTACCTCAGGGTATAGGCTGTCGAATTACCTTCTTTTCGACTGCATGCAAGATCTATACTCTGCAAAAAATGACTACTTAAGTAGTATGCAATTTTCTCATTGATTTTCGATGTCCTTGAAAATTCAAATATATTTCATGGAAAACATGCATAAAAATATTCATTCTTTTACTTATTCGGTAGAAAATCACGTCCGCTTCCAATTTCATAGTCAAAAGAAGAGTATAAGTCGGTTTTAAAAAACTTTTATAATTCCCGAATAATTTTGAACCCGACCTGCTGTTACACATGCATTCAGGGTTTCAAAACTACCAGCTGTATATTTTCCGTGTACGGAAAACCATGCACTTCTCTACGGTGTTAAGAGGAGACCATATGAGGTTCATGAAATTAAGCAGTGGAGTTGAGCAATATTGTTAAATTTAGAAGCCACATTCGTACATGCAGATACATGACGTTTCATGAACGGCCATTTAACGGTATTAAACAATCTCACAATAAGAAACTTTTTTAAAACCGAATTATACTCTTCTTTTGACTATGAAATTGGAAGAAGACGTGATTTTCTACCGAGTAAGTAAAAGAATGAATATTTTTATGCATGCTTTCCATGAAATATAATTGAATTTTCAAGGGCATCGAAAATCAATGAGAAAATTGCATGCTACATAAGTAGTCATATTTTGCAGGGTATAGATATTGCATGCAGCCGAAAATAAGTTCTTTCGAAAGCCGACACCCTGCGGTAACTGGATCATTATAGATTTATGCTGCATCATGATTAGTTTTACAACACTACTTAATTTATCTTTTCGAAACGAGAACGCATTTCGAAATTTTGGTTGACATTTCATGAGTTAGCACACCTACTGTAATTCACCTAGAATTCACCAGATGACTACTAGGCTCACGTAATTCATAGGTTTGGCAGATTTTGAATAATTCGCGTAGTCCGGCGGGGCCTCGTAGCTCAAGTGGTTGAAGCGTTGGCTGTACTAAGCCCTTAACCTTACGGTCGTGGGTCCGAATCCCAGCGAGGTGCCGAGCTTTTCACAGTTGGGTCAGGGCGAATCAATTGAAATCTGTCGAAGCATCAATAAAATGAAAACGACATTTCGATAAGTAAAACCTCCAATGGGCAGCAAGTTTTTTGGCAGACGCTCAACTGAGACCTGTTAGCCGGAGCGCTGTTTTTCCGAGGACTGACGTACGCTAAAAAAGCCCCCGTTCCCAGGGTGGCAAATACGTAAACTACAGCTGTCACCACCACCACGGAAAATGTCCGCCCAATTCGCAGCGCAATTAACGCGAGTCTTTGTCTTGCTCGAAAAGGTCCCACAATCGTCGTTCAGGTAAACAAAGCAGAGAAGAAGTTAGTTAACGTGACGTAAAAGAGGCCGAGCGACGCACGGGTGGAATGAAGACGCAGGTATTCAGTGCTGATGCGGACCCCTGCATGCGATAAGGTGCAACTTCTGGATGAGATTGAGGATGTGAATCAGGTGAAAAATCTTGACAACGGACACGGAGTTGTATCCGGTGTTTGCTTAAAAGCCTACGATGATTCCAGGCCGCGAGCGCCCGAGAAAAAAAACGCCAAATAGACACTCTGAGGCGAAACAAACCTTGACGCCGTCGTCTTACTCTCGAGCGACTAAAGTGTTTTCACCGACCATCAGGTCGAACACCTTCGCGGGAGCTGCTAGGGCTTCTGTGAATCTTCTTGAGTTCAAGTTTTGCAAAATTATGTTTGGGTGATACGTCCAGTGACTGAACGACCAGGAGGATATCATTAAGAACCTCGGTCACGCAAGAGATCAAGTAAAGGTAAGTACATTCTTAGACAACCGGCTACTATGACAAGGTAGGAAGTGCCGACGTGTTTTTTGATGTGATTCACAGAAAGATTGACAGGATTACGGCAATGTTCTTAAAAGTGGACCACATCCATGAATTTTTACAGACCAAATAGGGCGAAATGGCAAGAATTCTCAAGGAGAAAGACGTGGTTGGACTTTCGCAAGCTAAGTTCTCGTTCTCGAAAAAAGTTGGTTTAGTTACTACTTCCTGGCGTGTAGGCTGTAGTGCTAAAACAAGCACCGAAGCTGCGTGCACGTATTAAGCGTCTGATGCGAAAACGGCATATTCAGAGGTGTTTTGGCAGATTTCAAATAATTCACTTTAACCCAACCGTAAAAAACTCGGCGCGTCGGTCGGATCCCAACCCAAGACAGTAAGGTGAAGGCTTTAGCACAGCCAACGCTCTAAACACCTGATCTAGGAGGCCCACCAGCGCCGAGTTTTTCACAGTTAGGTCAAAGTGAATTAATTAAAATCTACTAAAACAACTCCGAATTACACGAGCCTAGTAGTCATCCGGTGGATTCAGATGTATTATTTAGGAAATCCTGCTTGGACAGTCAATTTACTGTATCAGATATGGTGGATTCCAGACGTTGCAGTAGGTTGGGCGGGTAAACTTGACCCAAAGGTGATTAAACTCGCGTCGTCCGGCGAGGCCTCGTAGCTCAGGTGGTTAGAGCATTGGCTGTAATAAAGCCTTCCGCTTACTGTCGTGGGTTCGAATCCCACCGAGGCGCCGAGTTTTTCACAGTTGGGTCAAAGTGAAAACGGCATATATAATAACTACGAAGAACTGGTTTTCAGGCGGAGAGAATATCTGGAAGTAAGTTAGAATATGGTGGCCCGTTTTAGAGATTTCGGGCGGCTCGCTCAAACTTTGGATTTTACATGGCTTTCAACTTCCAGTGGACCGTTCGGTAACGTCGGTTGGTCAGATATGGCAGAAAGGATGCGCCTGTCATTTGACTGATGAAATGTACGGTAAACGGTCGATAGTGACGATAGTAAGTTTGACATTTCAGTAATTAGACGTAATTGGTTGCCGTATTTACATTTTAATTATCACATTAGTTTGCATTCTTTTTAGCATACTGAGCTTTGTCATTTGTCTGCTTTAACTAACCAAGATTCGTCTATTTTTGGTTCTTTGGGTTGCGCGCTCAATTAGATTTTGCCCGCACTTGTTGAAGATAGCCAATCGCATCTCACTCACCTGCAGACGTTGGTGATGTCGGCGCCCGAATAGCCGTCCAGCTGTTCGGCAATCTTCTCGAATTGGACGTCCTCGTCGAGGGGCACCTCACGGAGATTTATATGCAGCAGGGCTAAGCGTCCGCTCACTGGGAGGAAAAAAAGACGATTTCAATGACGTTGGCGCTCAAGGACAGAAACATGGTTACGAGCGCGGTGTAGGCCTATCGAACACGGCGACTGTGGTAAATCCTTCACTGTACCAAGGAGTAAAAACAGCCCAACAGCATTATACAGATGAAAGTTCGACCGTTGCCGCACGAGGCCTGCACAGCACCGGCGACTTGGACGTGAATTAGTCAAAACACCGCCCCCCCCCCACTATGGGACGGCATGATAATTGAAGACCCCTTCTCCCGACCCGCACTTGCCGCCCTTGTGAAACGCGCATTTTGCTTCAATTAGCAACATATATACCTTGGTGCTGAAAAGCGGGCGTTCCAAGGAATTTAATCGAAAATAAGTAAGATGCCTTGGGAAGAGAATAGCCTTTAATGCAAATTTGTGTACAGTGTCCAGTGTTTGCATATCCACCTGGGATAGGTGATCTCGTCTCTTCACCGCTCACGTATGCGGATAGAGGCAGATTTCCCAGTTTGGCCACAAGAGACGGCATCACAACTGGAAAATGGTATTTTGTAGACAACACCTTTTCTATCAAGATAGGCAAACCTGTCCTTGGGGTGTACAAGCTGTGTACGCAAGGTAGGTGACGGTTGGTGTGCTACTTGTATCTGATGCTTTTTTAGCCGTCTTTCGACGAGCTCAGATACATTTTTCAGGCATAGGAAAGTCCGCCAGATGAATGTGATTGGTGTCTGGGTGGCCGTCGCTTTCGAAAAACCTTTCTGTCTAAACTCATGTTTCATGCAGTGATGCACAAAGTCGCGCGGGTATCCGCTGTGGGAAAATAATTTGAAAAGGTATTCCATTTCTGCTTTATAACTTTCTTCATTGGAGCAGTGTGTTTTGGCTGGGTTTAGTAGGCTGTAGACAGTACCTCTCTTGTGGGAGATGGAATGGTTACTCTCAAAATGTAGGATGACCTCAAAGTATGTTTCTTTGCGATAAACTGAAGTGTGAGGGGACCCATCGGTTTTTCGGCATACGAGGACATCCCGAAATGGAAGTTGTATATCAACCTCTATTTCGAAAGTGAACTTGATTCCTGAAAATGTGGAGTTAAGATTCGTGTGAAGTCGGTTTAATTGGTTTCTCTTGACAATGACAAATGTGTCATTAACATAGCGCAACCATAGTTTTGGGTTTATTTTAGGAAGAGCTAGAGACTCTAGTTTCTGCATTATGGCTTCTGCTAGAGAGCCAGATATAGGCGAACCCATAGGAGCACCTTTCAGTTTGAATTAAAAACGGATATCGCAAGAAATTTAGTCCAGAAGATGGAATTCTCTGGGAAACCGTAAACTTTATCGTGCAAATGCTCGAGACTGGTTCCCCAGCTCGTCTTCAGACTATGGATATGCGAAAGCAACTTCTAAACTGAGTCCGACAGAGGATTCTATGAGTAACTAAAGTCTGTGCCAATGAGTGATAGTTGAAATTAGTCATTTCCTCGGGATTGGTTGAGCCACTTTGAAGTTGTCGTCAACGATTTTGTATGTGGCATCTAGATCGATATGCCGATTGATGCATGCCTCATCTGAGTGCATTGCCTCCAGGAATTCGCGGCCTTTCCTTATTGGGTGGGCGCCAACAATGCGGGTGTTCTCCCATGCAAATTCGTGTCCAGTGTCCAGTATGTGCACAGCAGATCGGATATGCATTCACTCAGGGATGGGCGCACACCGATCCATTGGCTTCCCGAAGCAAACAAGCTTCGTATGGGCGATAGAGGTCACGAACAGGCAACCACCTAACAGGCCGAAGTCGGCGCTTATTCCTGAGTGAATACCCCATCTGCAACGACAGAGAATGGCAGATGGCGATGCACTGATGAACTTTGGTTCGATGAGGTGCTTATGACCCATCTGGCAGACTCCAGTGGTGGACCAGCTGCGCCAGGTGTGTCTGTGCGCATGTTCGTGTTTCCGGTCCCAGCTGGTGGTGGTCAGGGTTATGATTGGCTGAATGAAGGCTCGTCTTCAGACTATGGATATGCGAAAGCAACTTCTAAACTGAGTCCGACAGAGGATTCTATGAGTAACTAAAGTCTTTGCCAATGAGTGTTAGTTGAAATTAATCATTTCCTCGGGATTGGTTGAGCCACTTTGAATTTGTCGTCAACGATTTTGTATTTGACATCTAGATCGATATGTCGATTGATGCATGTCTCATCTGAGTGCATTGCGTCCAGGAATTCGCGGCCCTTCCTTACTGGGCAGGCGTCAACAATGCGAGTGTTCTCCCATGCAAATTTGTGTCCAGTGTGTGCATGACCACCTGGGATAGATGGTCGCGTCTCTACTCCGATAACTGGTGTGCATGTATACGGGTTGAGACAGATTTCCCAGTCTGGCAACAATAGACGACATCACATTTGGAACATGGGATTTTGCAGACAACACTTTTTCTTTTGAAGTAGCCAACCCTGTCCATAGGGTGTACAGAATGAGTGAGCAGGGTAGTTGTCGGCTGGTGTGTTACGTGTATCTGGTGCTTTTTAGTTGTCTTTCGACCAATTCAGATACAGTTCCAAAGTATGGGAGAGTTCGTCAGGTGGTTGCTTTCGGTGTTCGGGCGGCCCCTAAGGTGGGCCACGCGGTGGATGCGTTGGACCAACACAGAGGCAGGCGGTATCGGGAACGCGCACCCATAACACGTGGCAGCAGGGCAAGGTGGAGGTCCGCACCGCGCCAGTTGGGATCCCAGCCGTCCCTCTTGTGTAAAATCCTAGTCAGTGCATTTTTTGGGCCGGAAGGTGTGAGTTTTCATCGTGCCAGCCACCCGTGTCCTCACCCGCCTCCGGTCTTCTTGACTGTGCCCTGAAACCGGGTCCAGGTGGGTGATGAGGAGAGAGCGCGGTAGATTCAGCATGTAGGTCTACCACCGCTCTTAAGTAACTCGCGCGCAAGTCACCGTCTCTGCGCTCACTCTGCTGTAGGGCACACGGTGGACATCTAAATCGACGGTTGAAATGTATATGTAACCAAAACCCTGATCATATGGACAGCCTGAGAAGATGGAGCCTATATTTTGCGCCAGTAGTCCGCTGCTCGACGCATCTGCATGGGCCAGAAAGTTGAACAATCTTCAGCGGGGATCAGTTGCGAAATAAGCTGGCTGTCAGGTTTGATGAGCAAACAATTACGGAATATCAGTGATGGTGTTATCACGACGCGGATGATTGGTATAAAGAACATGAACTATCAGCAGGTAAGTTCGTTACGGTGCCAGTACTATGTCGTTTGGGTATTCAAGTAAAAGACGCGCTGAGAACGGAGTCAATTCTTTGCTGGCGGAAGAAAACTACACCGAACTTAACCGGGATTGAATTCAACTATCTTCACGATGCCACAGATGAGAGCTGGTCCAACTCATAATGTCAGATGGGCACTGCATGTACAGTAGGTGGGCTAACTCATGAACTGTCAACCGAAATTCCGAAATACGCTTTCATTTCGAAAAGATTATTTAAATAGAGCTGTAAAACCAATCATCGTGCAGAATAATTCTATAATAATTCAGTTACCACAGGATGCCGGCTTTCGAATAAACTTCTTCCCGGCTGCATGCAAAAACCACACTCTGTAAAAAAATGACTACTTACGTAGCGTGCATTTTTCTCGTTTATTTTCGATGCCCTTACAAATTCAGTTCTATTTCATGGAAAACACGCATAAAATATTCATTTTTTGTTCATTCGGTAGGCAATTACGTCTTTTTCCAATTTTATACTCGAAGGAAGGGTGTAATTCGGATATAAAAAGTTTCTAATTGTGAGATTTTTTAATACCGTAAAATGGCCGTTCATAAAACATGTGTCTGCATTTACCAATGTGGCTTGTAAAGTCAACAATATGGCCCAAATCCACTGCTAAATGTTATGAACTCCATATGGTCTCCTCTTAATACCGTGGAGAAATGTATGGATTTCCGTACGCGGAAAATATACGGCCTGTAGTTTGGAAACCCTGAATACAAGTGTAACGGCAGATCGGGGTTGAAAAACTAAGCATCATACAGCATAATTCTATAATAATACAGTTACCTCAGGGTGCCGGCTTTCGAATGAACTTATTTTCGACTGCATGCAAGAACTATACTCTGCAAAAGTGACTACTTAAGTAGCATGGATTTATCTCATTGATTTTCGACGCCCTCAAAAATTCAATTATATTTCATGGAAAACATGCATAAAAATATTCATTCCCTTGCTCATTCGGTAGAAAATTACGTCTTCTTCCAATTTTATACTCGAAGGAAGGGTATACTTCGGTTTTCAAAAACATTTCCGATTTCCGAGTAATTTTGAACCCGACCTGCCGTTACGATTGCATTCAGGGTGGCCAAACTACAAGCCGTCTATTTTCTGCGTATGGAAAACTATGCATTTCTCTACAGTATTAAGAGAAGACCATGTGGGGTTCATAAATTTAGCAGTGGATTTGAGCCTTAATTTTTACTTTAGAAGCCACATTGGTAAATGCAGAGATATGACGTTTTATGGACGGCCATTTCACGGTATTAAAAAATCTTACAACTAGAAACTTTTTGAAAATCGAATGACACCCTTCTTTCGAGTAAAAGATTGGAAGAAGACGTAATTGTCTACCGAATGAGCAACGGAATGGATATTTTGATGCATGATTTTCATGAAGTATAATTGAATTTTTAAGGGCGGCGAAAATCGATTAGAAAAATACGTGCTACTTAAGTAGTCATTTGTTACAGAATTTAGCTTTTCCATGCGGCCAAAAAGATGTTTGTTCGGAAGTCGGCATCCCGAGGTAAGTAAATTACGATAGAATGACGTTGCACGATGATCAGTTTCACAACACTACTTAATTAATCTTTTTGAAACGGAAACGCATTTCGGAATTATGGTTGAAATTTCATGAGTTAGCCTACCTTCTGTAAGTGATCCTTCCTAATCATAAAGACATTTCAGAATTTCGGCTAATGTTTCACGAGATTGGTTACTGGCTAAAGACAGTGGCCTCAGCGCTCGACACCGACAAGTGAGACAAGACGAAATAGCGATCAGTACGCGCGGGCACGCTCAATTTCACACAAAAGCCATTTATCTTTGCGACCTAATTGTTGACAGAGCTCCCCGCGGGGCGATCCAGCACTTTGACGGGCTGAAATCACACACAGGCACATACGTACGCAACGATTCTGGGGGAGCGGTGAAAATTGCTAGTGTAAAATCTGACGATAGCGCCTACCCCCCCAGCAGTTAGTCTACTGATAGGGGAAGTGAAAATGACGTTCAACTTCCGGCGATTACGTGGCAGCTCGAGACGGAGAAATCAGGCCGGACGCCGTTCAGAAGGATCCAACTTCCGAAAGCACTTTATTTTGCATTGTAGCTGGTTTGAATTGGCCATGCCTATCGCAAATACAGGGAAGGGAGTGCGGCCAATTCTACACAATCATTTCACTGTCATTTAAAATGCCTAAGGGCAGTAAAGACGAAACCTTGACAACTGCCAAGTGGAGGGGAATCGACTCGGCCGCCTGGAATGGCAGCCAGATTACAGTACTTCCTTCATAAGCTGATTTTATGCTGACTCTTACTATGTATCCTCAGAGTAGATGGGGTTAGATTAGTGTAAGATATGGAGTCGGTACATGTTTTGCATACGTAGAAAGGAGACGAATGCTCAAATAGCCACTGCATCCAGGCTGATTTCGAGTGGTTTTGATACAGTTTTGCCAGATCAGTCAATCTGTTGGCCGGGTGGGGAAGTATGTGGGATGATTTCCACTTGCCTTGTTTAATTTCCGAGGAAATTAATGCGCGAACTTGGAGAAAATCCTTCGGGACAGACCTTTTCAGACACAGTCCGAAATTCGATATGAATATCTGGGCTGAAACCCATCAGCTATTATGGAATAACCACGTCATATTCACAAACTGTCACCAGGCAGCCAGTAGTATGGAATTGTGTAATTATTTACTGTACTAACAACATAAGTACAGGCTAGAAGCCCAGACACGCGTGCTCTGCCGATCTTCCACCGCTGTCTGACGCAGCTGCGAGGGGTCCGGCTAATCAGTGGGTACTCTCGCCTTGCCCGTGTGTCTTCTGGCATGTGAGCTCCAGTTTCATCTTGCCTTGTTTAATCCCCGAGGAAAGTAATGCGCGAACACAGAAACTAAGATATTCTAGCCACGCTAGGACGTTGGCTCTGGAATGCACTTCTTTTCGGCCACCAACATAAACGCGCGCAGTAAAGAATGACATTACACGAAAATCTGCGGCAGTTCACCACAGGTTTGACCACATCACTACACATTCTCTCCGCCACTACATGCACTCCTCATTTACATCCAGCAACTGCACCTCCCACGTAAATGAGAAGTGCGTTTTTCGGTTCCTCTCTATGTGATTCCTGAGCTACATGTGTGATCCGTGTCGCACCCATCGTGGTATACTCGAATCCTGGTCAAGTGTTGGCTGTGAATAGGTAACGCATGATAGGGTGTAGCGACGGGCAGGCCCACGTCGTGAGAGTCGGGATCCCCGTTGATTCCCTTACCCTCCTGTTGTAGTGTTGAAATCCAGGTCAAATGACTGTTTGAACCAGGGTGGGTAGTGGTACGTTTAAGTGCGGATTTTCGACGTGCCAAACACCTGCGTCCTCTCCCATCTCCGGTGTTCTTGACCCTGTCATGACACCCAGCCTAGATGAAGAGGAGGAGGAGGCAGAGTGCGATAGATGCAGAGCGAGTTTGCTATCATTATGAACTAATTCACGCACAAGTCACCGTGCCTGCTCTGACCATGATGCGGAGCACGCGGTGGACATAGTCGAAATCGACGGTCGAACTGTCCGGTATGTGTCTGTCCCCTACAACGGGTCACGCAGTCGATGCGCTGAACCAACACCGGATCCAGATCAAGGTACGACACGCGTTATTGGCTGCGCACCCATAACAGACGCCACTCAAAGGGGAAGGAGAATAGTGGCGCGCCTAGGTGCGGGTTCACGCCGCACCCGGTCCCGCCCCCAGTTTTCCTGACTCTCTCCCGACACCCGACCCAGGAGCGTGAGGGAGGAGAGAGTGAGGCAGATGTCTCACAAGTCACCCCTGAATATAATTCACACGCAAGCCGCCGTCCCTGTGCCTACTACGCTGTGGGGCACATAGCGTACATCGTCCGAAACGACGGTCGAACTGTCTGGTATATGCGAGCAGGTATGTGTGGCAAGTTCGTAGCAATCTCCGGCCCCTCCCTTCTTCATGGGGCATGATTTAGATGATAATTCCACACGCAAACAGCTGGCAGTCTGTTTTGTAGCGACTGCCGCTTCAACAGAGTTCCAGCTTATCTTCCTTAGGGGTAGAGTCTGACAGGCTGGCGGCGTCAAGAATCAGCGCATACTGTGATCAAGCAGCAGATAGTTAAGCATGAAAACTCCAGACGACAAGGATCGCTTTTGCTGTGTGGATGACAACAAGCAACAGGTAGGGGACGCACTTGACCATAGGACACAAAAATTTGTTTTTTTGGAGTCCTTCCTCAGCGATCGAAATGAGGAAAGCGCTTAAGGTGTGCGCGTGCAACGCCGAAGATCCATCTACGCGTGCCACGCACGAGCCAGTTTCCAACTACACGCGTGACAGGATCCAATTGGGAAGGTCGAGAAATCGGCCCAATGGAAATGCCTTGAAGGCCGCACCAAGAGGAGTAGGAGCGAGTAACCTCGTCAGTCAGCGACCTCCTAAGCCACGACTGTTAGCGTGCTAGATTCATGATGCCGAGGAAAGTACTGGTGTGTCGCGAGTTGCGATTTCTCAGGATCGACCGTCTAAGCTGGCCTTTCACAAGTAGATACACAAAGAAAAGAATTCGTGACTGGTTTGGAACAACATTTTCCAGAACAGCAGCTAACAACAAGTGCGCGATGCAAAAAATTCACGTTGCGGTTGATGCACTGGTGATCTTCGTTAAAGGACTAAATGGACCAAGACTCGAGAACTTTCATTTTATGAGATGCAGCACAGAAAGCCAGAAGTTCAAGTCCCGATGGGAAACAAAGAAAAGGCCAGGTTCCCCAGAAACCAGCATCTCCGCTGGAAAATCAGTTTTTGGAAAGGATTTAATTTGTAGGACCACATCCTTGTTACCATGTAGACGGCTACTTATGTGATTTAGTTTGGGAATGTAATACCGCGCGTTAGGATCCGATCAGTCGGTCTTCAGGTTACTGTACGTAGTGCCGCTGTTAAGCTTCTGGGGTCGGGACTGTGACCGTGGGATTTGTGCTGGGGGAGGGTTCGCGGAGAGGGAGAAAGGAGGGACTAAGGACGTGTGTCTGCTACATTACGGTTTTGCCGTCGTTCAGACGATTCTAGGACCGTTGTATGAGTTAGATTTCGTCCACAACTTTATGGTCGGGATTTGGGGTGAGAGTCTAGCATAAGGGTTATGGTGAGTGGTAGGCATAATTGCAAAATTAGGGCTGGAGTTAGTTTTAGGATAAAAGATTAGAGTTGAGGTTACGGCTACGGTTAGAGATTGTGATTTAAACATGTGGTTTGGGTTGCTACCTACGCACCGCGGCGTTTATTTGGGCTTCGAATCGCGCTCTTAAAACAACATATGCCAAGAGGAAGGTGTGGGGCCTATACCGCCACTTTAGGAGTCGTTACCTAATTTTTTGATTATGTTCGGTTGTCACTTGGCTTTCAGGAGATCCTTCTTTTCCGGTTAAACGAGCCTCCGTATAATGTGGGGGCACTTTGAGCTCCCTGTTAGTTTTCAGTTTGCCAAGACACCGCTTTTTGAGTTGCGCGCCACTTTTGCCAGCTGAGTTGTCGTATTTAAACAAAATTTTGCTTATTTATTGCTTCCGCCTACTCTTCCTCCAGCTTTTCCCACTTCCTACCATTTTTTCCCCACCCATAAAACCCCTCATTATCACCATTTCTGTGTTAAAGATGATCCCGAGGGTTGATTTGCCAAGTGGTCCTACATAGTAGACCCCCCCCCCCCATGCCAGCCCTTAAATATCAGCGTACACGTGAGTGTTTCGCCATAGACCGAGGTTCTAACGCCACGTCAGCCAGGGCTATCAGGCCTGCACAGTAGACTGGTACATAGGAGGGGACAGACAGGCCGACGCTGGGGAATCCTTCCTGACTAGATTAAATATGACGCGCTCGACAATTGCCTGAACCTCAGTTTGGAGGAGGGATTTTTTGACAGAAAGAAGTTGATATGATCTCCTAGGTATTAGATCTCTACCCAGTTTCTCACTTCATCATTTTCATCCGATCACGGCCAGGAGTTTCGCTAACCGCAGTTCTTGTGCCACCAGACTGGTTTGGTAGTGGGTTGAACGCTTTGCGGATGTTCTTCCCAAAAAACCTACTGCACCCGAAGGGGTGGGGACAATGACTTAGTTTTTTAATTAATAATAATACCTGGGTGGGGTTGCAGTGGTCATAAGAATCAAGCATACTTTTCACACAAACAATACCCTGCGAAATGCTAGCCTCCCACTGAAGACGTTTGCAGCTAGTCACTTTTTTCAATAACTAAATGCTAAGCTAAATGATTTGGTTTCCCAGAAATAATTGTGAAAAAAACGTGTTGAGGTTACATTTTAAAGGCGGGTGTAGTCCACGTTAGAAAACTTGTAGTCTAATGACTTGGTAGAAACTGGCTGACGCGTGCATACTTATTCCACAAATAAAGATTGCTAGATGAAGAAGATAAACACAAGTGTTACAAAAGTTCCCAAACGTCGTCATAGCAACATGAAAAATATTTTGACGGCACCTCTGGGGAACATGCAAAATAAGCACGTTTAAAAAGTGTATGCGGTGAAAACATTTGCAAACGCATGTGCAGGCGAATTTGAGGGCGTGGAAAGGATGAAAATGACAACAGAGGATAAGAAATAGTAAAATAGAGAATGAATATGTAGATGGCTGCACCAACGTCTCCGTCGCCATCATCACCATCTTCATCAGATAAAATAATCAGACGGCCACTGAATCGGGCCGGAGGGGGAGGCCATTTCTATCTCACACATGCTAGAGAACGACGCGGTCTGATATTCCAGAAATGCTGTTCACTTTACCCTTATTTGTGAAATTGTACAATGAAACTGAACAAGCGCTGCAGTTGTACTGCTGCAGCCGGTGACCAATCGAAAGTCGGAGGGACAAAATAGAGCAAAAAACACACCTACTGAAACGTAGGAAGTAAGATGAAATAACTCACAGCTAGGGAGAGGGATGTAGATGCGTTTCTCCAGACGACGCCGAAGCGCCTCGTCAATGTCCCAGGGGAAGTTGGTTGCCGCCAAAACCATGACGGTTTTGGTAGGGTCATCTTGCCCTGTTGCACCAGTGAGACCTGAAGACAAAGACTGAGGAGTAAGTAAGCAAGCCCTCAGGGATGACAGGTACTTTCTGGGAGAACAGACAAAATATTGCTTCCCAAAATTTGCACTGCACATTATAGTTCGCCCATCGTAATTGGTGATGGCCAACTTCATTCCAGAAGTCCGCAGTTCCATTGACCCACGCGGTATCTGAGGGAACGAGGGACAGTGTGTGAGAGTTTGACAACTGTTGGGCAGAGCTGCTGGCAGCGATTCCATCTTTTTTTGCCGAGATAGATTCACAGGTGTCTGACCGGACAATTTCGTGACCGGACGGTGTGGTCATAGAGGTGCAAATTGAAACTATCTCAGCGCTAATGACGGCAGCCCCTCCGCCAAACGGGCTGTGCGTTGGACCAAAACGGGAGTCACATTTGTTGGACGAGTCTGCGTGAAACCTTAACAGCTATCATACAGGCGTGTGGAAAGCCCTGGACGTAGGGCGTGACTGATACACGAGGAAGAACTTAATCGAACAACACCTACTTAAATAAGTGTAGTAGCGAGTCTTGTATGTTAAACCTACCCCGACTACATACCACATCCTTACCGAAAATATTAACGGACACTTTACTGCTGGTAACCCCGTCAAGGCTCAGCATGGGCGTGGGTCATTCAAGCGCTTTCTCAGCTTTCCTCAACTACTATGCGGAACTACTGAACTCAATCATTCCCGATCTACAGGTCACGATGGAAGAGGAAGTAGGGGACAAACATCCATTCTTGGATGTTCCCGTCTGCCGCCAGCCAAACGGCAAACTAGCGACGTCGGTCTACAGAAAACCGACGAACACGCTGCAAATGCTCAGCTACAACAGCAACCACCCGCTACAACACAAATGAAGCTGTGTTCGCCCGCTATACCGACGGGTGGAAACTCATTGCAGCACGCCAGCTGCCAAACTGGACGAGATAAAGCTCCTCCAAGAACTCTTCAGAGCCAACGGCTATCCGCGAACATTCATTGAACGAAGCCGAAGGCAGCCAAAGAAACGGAATGAAATGCATAATCAGTCAAACTCGTGGCGGTACATTCCATACATGAAAGGGGTCTCCGAAGCCGTGGCTAAATCCTTCGTGCCACTCGGAATAGGTGTTGCCCACAGGCCTGACTCAACAATCCGCCGGCAAGTGATGCGGCCAGAAGATCCGATCCCTAAGCAGGAGATGTCGGCCGTTGTCTACCGACTTCAATGCAGTTGCGGAAGTCGCAAGTACGTTGGGGAAACCGGCCGACGGTTGCAAACGCGAACGCACGAACATAAGTTGGCCGTGAGAAGGTTGGACCCAAAGTCGGAGGTAGCTACCCATGCCGCGCAAATGGGACACATCTTCAAGTTTGACGCCGTTGAGATTGGGGGCCGGGACGGTGATCATACAGCAAGACAAGTGCAAGAAGTCTGGATGTCCACCGACCACTCTGTCAACCGCCACATCAATTTGCCTCCCCTTATCTGACTTTACGAACCTTCTAACGGGGGACAGTCACGGCGCGGGACGATCGGGGCCGTCAGTCACCTCCGAGGCCGACGGAGGCGATTCAGGTCACAGTGACATGCGGGTTGGATGCAGCCACACAGGCGGCATTGGCGGGTCACGCATTGTACAAAGTGCGCCATATAAGGGGAGCTGTGCGCAGGACTTTCCAGTCTCTGAAGATGGGTAGAGGAATCAACTACTAGAAATGTCGGACCTCCAATAAACCCCTCCCGGTGAACGTCTCTTCTTCTTTTGCTTTCACAGTTAGCTCATCACCATGTAGTCCTCCAAAGGAGCGGGCTAAGCCCTCCATTGGTTTACGTCGTTTTGTGCGACCCTCAAACTCAGGAAGAAATGTTTACCACAATAAAGGGACTGCATCAAGGTGGGTCAAATTATCTCATCGACCAGCAAACTCCTGAACCACAATTTACAACATGACGCGACAGTCAAGTGTCAGATTTATAATAGTGGAGAGCGTTCTTTAGGGTAAGGTGACTCCATACTTACAGCACAGGTACTAGCCAAAGGCCCATACACGCGTGTTTCGCCGATATCCTGCCGCTGCATGACACAGCTGCGAGGGGTTCGGCACGCCAGTGGGTCCTCCAGCCTTTCCCGTCTTCTTGCTAGTAGTGGAGAGTGTGCCGAATTAACGCGAGGGGGGGGAGGGTACGTCAGTACTGAACTCTCTCTTCCATGCATCAATGACCCCTCCAAGGCTGTCGACCGGCTGGTGGTGAAACTCAACGCGGTGACCGACGCGGTGTGAGCCCCTGTCTTGAGCGTGTCGCATGATGAAGACTCACGTAGACTCCGCGTGGCCGTACTAAAGCGCTTCACGAGTCACCGTGACCTCTATTTTGGTTTTGCACAGTCCATTTGGGGTGCCCCGTAAAATGTGTGAATAAGTGGACATCATAAAGGGTGCCCCTGCGTAAAAAGGCAAGAAGCATAAGGCGAATCACACACCGTCCATCTGTACCAACAGTTCCGACTTAACGCGCCGCGAGGCCTCGTGCTCGGAGTCACCGCCACGTCGAGAGCAGAGGGCATCGATCTCGTCGATGAAGATAGTGCTGGGGGCGTAGAAGCGTGCCATGTCGAAGAGGAGGCGCACCAACTTCTCCGACTCGCCGCGCCATTTGCTTGTCATACTGGAACTGGAGACGTTGAAGAAGGTGGTCCCGCACTCTGTGGCCACCGCTTTGGCCAGAAGTGTCTTCCCAGTGCCCGGCGGGCCCACCATCAAAACGCCCTAAAAGAAAGAAGCATGGTGTAAATGCTGCTGACATAGGAACACGCAGGCCTACTTTTGTGTTCTGCTCAAGTTAGGTTGGGACTGTGACCATTATTTTGTGAATAATCGTTTGTAATACCATTCTCTCTGAGATGGACGCATTTCCAATCAGACTTCCACCTATCTTCCCCAAAATAACCCTCAAACGTTACAGTATAAACCAAGAGAACCATTTTTCTGTATTCCACAAGTTAGAGACTGAGTAGGCCAAGCTCCACGGCGAAACGAAATGTTCAAATTTCGCGCTACAACCGGGCTAGATCCAGTGAATGTCAGTTCCACGTGACGCGACAACCCCGATCTCAGCCGGCTGACGCAGAGCCCGTAACTCAATGAAACACTAGACCCTATCTCCCCGGAGTCGGGGTACGAATGGCCAATGATGTCAAATATGCTATAGTCGGCCATTCCAATCGCGCCTGTCCTCGCCAGCGTGAAAATAAGCATTATAACATGCCTACTGAAAATATGGTAGTAACGTAGTCGTAGCGATATTGAAGTAAATTATATTAATGCAAATCTTGGCGGAAGACAGACGAACAACCTCATTTCTTCACGCCTCTAAAACGTATTCCGATTGACTGGTCGAGTGCGGGGACGTTTTTCCCCGTGAAATAGCAGTTTCCTCAGACTCCTAAATTGCCCTACGGCTTAATACACCTCTTACAAAGACAATAATGTAATTAACGCAACCCTATCCGCCAACAGTGTAAAGTCATGGAAATGGGACCTTCACCGGCTTCAGAAGGCAGGGCCGCCAACTCCGTAAAAATTAGTCGAAGGAAGAATGCTGCTTCCTCATCCACCACAGGGAGGTTGACTTCCTTAAGTCCCGCCTTCTAAAAAAGTAGTGCATTGCAGCCATTTCCTGACAATTGATGGTCAATGCTCGAGTGCGGTTCAAGGAGATGGACGGTATTTACACAACTGCAGCATGTGACGGCATCGGAGAGGAGGAGAGAACAGCTGGCTACTTTAGCGATGGATCGAATCCCACGATAAGTGTGAGGCACACGGTAGATTTATGCAGTATGGACCTGATCGGCAGTTCGGAGCTCGTAAATGAGGAGCCGCGGCGGCTTACTAGTGAATTTGTGAAGCAACTATCTCCCCCTATAGAAGCAAAAAGACGAGTCCCAGGAAGTAGTCTTGAAGAAGGCGACACGATCGCTGGGACAAGAGCTTTATTAGCCTGACGTTTCGGATTCCTGCTCGAACCCATCATCAGAGACAACAGCAGATACGGGTGATTCATGCACCAGCGGCTGCAGTATTTATAGGATGCACTCGCCATGCTACCGCATTCCTATGAACATTCACGGCTCTCCCCTTCATCCGGGATCGTTGCACGTGGTGTGTTAATCGCCGAGGCGGTCCTGCAACTGTTAGAGCCGCTGGTCTTCCAACACAACAAACTGAAGTTCTGGGCGCGGTATGTGGATGATATCTTCGTCATTATCGACCGGGATCAACTGCTGACATTCAAGGAACGTCTGAATGCGGTCTTCCCGGACAGACAATTTACGATGGACGAGGAAGAGAACAATCAGCTGGCCTTCCTGGATGTCCTCGTATGCCGCAAAGATTGTGGTGGACTAAAGACCAAAGTGTTCAGGAAAGCGACAAATACGATGCAAGTACTCAACTTCAACAGCAGCTACCCAATCAACTACAAAAGCAGTTGTGTAAGGACGCTCTATCGGCGTGTCGAAACGCACTGCAGTGAACCGGAAGACAAGATTGCCGAACTACATTACCTCCGGCGTGTATTCAAAGCCAATGGCTACTCAAGCAACTTTGTCAACCGGTGCATACGCAAAAGGGACGGAAGGCCTAACCGCACGGACACCAATCTTGACGACTGCTTCCGTGTGTCAAGAACGTTTCGGAAGCTGTCGGCCGCCTTCTCGCACCACTTGGGGTTGGAATGGCACACAGACCGGAGGCAACCAACAGGCGTCTGGTCATGAAACCGAAAGACTCGCTGTCACGGATAGAAATGTATGGAGTCGCTTATCGGATCTGGTGCAGTTGCGGACAAAGCAACTATGTCGGAGAAACCGGAAGACAGCTCCGAACGCGAATGGCCGAACACGCTGCAGTGGTGCGGAGAAATGACGCCAGCTCTCAAGTTGCGGCTCATTCGACGAGATCTGGCCACACATTCAAATTCGACGAGGCCGGAATTCTCGCGAGAGGTGACAACCGCGTAAGCCGGGAGCTACTTGAATCATGGTTTATTGGCCCCCAGTCTATTAACAAGTGCAATGAACTTCCCCTTCCATACTCAGTGCTGAGACTTCGCCTAGGCGGAGTAATTGGCCACGTAGGGAGCGCACAGGTGAAAACTCTTCCCAACACCAGGATCGATGCGTCAGGTGGTCGACCAATCATCACACCAACATCCAACTCACGTGATGAAATTGCAGCAATTAACGACGCGAACGTCGGCCATCAAGTAATTAACCCGTCACGTGCATCGATCTCGGAGGGTGGAGCCGTGAATGTTCATAGGAATGCGGTAGCATGGCGAGTGCATCCTATAAATACTGCAGCCGCTGGTGCATGAATCACCCGTATCTGCTGTTGTCTCTGATGGTGGGTTCGAGCAGGATCCGAAACGTCAGGCTAATAAAGCTCTTGTCCCAGCGATCGTGTCGCCTTCTTCAAGACTATCTCCCCCTATCTTCGCACGACCACCGTATTCCAATGACAAGACAAAATAAAAACGACAGAAACTGGGCGTGTGCGAAGCGGTTGACCTGACATGGAACCCCACCTACACGTGCCACACACGTGCTCGTGCTCGCGAGCAGGCAACCCAGGAAAAAATTTTCGGGTCTCCAATTAAAGAGAGGAAGATGGAGGATGCTATCATGTTGCAGTCTGATCCCCGGTTCGGAGGAGGACAACGTTAGCCCATCCGTTGGAAATGTTTCAAGCCGCGACGCATCGGATTCACCAAGGCCCAAAAGGCGGGCGTAGAGAAACTATCCCCGGTCGGCCTCTCTCTCCCCCCTTCCAACCATTTATTGGTGGCAAGTCTAAATTAAACTACCCAGAGGTCAAGTTAGGGCGAAGAAGGCGGCACAAGACCTCCGTCTGAGAGCGCCACTGACGCATAACAGTACAGCGCTCACGCCTTTTGGTGCTGCTGAGCCGCGAGGTTTATACACTTCCCTGAGGTCTATTGCCATTCCCACTCTCAAAAAGACTGCACTGATGCTGTGATGGGCTAAAACCGGCGTCGTGTTGGCCCACTGGGTGAGTTAGTTGGGCTATGTCATTGTTGCGTAAGCACGTGACACGCACAAGACAAAGCCTTGCACTGATACGATTGCAATCATGCCTGATCTAGCCAACCTCAATGATATCTCAAACTGTGCCTCTCCACGCGTAACGATCCGCGGCAGCAAGTCTGGACAGTTCAATCCATTCTCCTCGCCAACGACGGAGACTGAATACCGAAGGTCCAAGAACCACCTCCATGTCTTGACGAACAGTGTCGAGCCAGGTTTTGGGTCGACCCCCTCTTCGGCGTATCCAATGGGATAACGGTGCCGGATCGAGGGCAGTAACACAGAGCTCCTAAGACCGACGGTGATGAATGTTGACAAGAAGTAAAAGCGATCGCTGGAAGAAGGGCTTTGTTCGCCTGACGTTTCGGATTCTCGCCTGAACCCATCATCAGAGACAGTGACGGAAACGGGTGATTTGTGCACAGGAAGTTGCAGTATTTATAGGATGCAGTCGCTTTGCAACCCCATACCTGGTAATTAATCGCGCTCCACTTTATCAAGAATTGTTGCCCGCTGGTGCGCTAATTGCTTGATGGCCGGCATGCAAGTTGTTAGTTGTTGAAATCTCATCACCCGTGTTGGATGATGGCGTGATGATTGCTCGGCCATCTGGCTCACCGGCTTGCGCGCTCCCCGAGTGGTCAATTACTTTGGCCAGATTATGCCTCAGCACGGAATATGGAGTGGGGATGTCGTTGGCGAATAAATTACTTGTTTCAGCGATCGCTTCTTCTTCTTAGCAACTTGTTCCTGGAACTCGGACATTCGCTTGCATCGATGAAGGACGTGCCCAAACCACCTCCGCCATCTTTCTTTCTTGCGATGCTGTCACAGCGAGTGTGGACTGTCTCATGTGAGACGAAGTCGGTGTACTTCACTCGAAGGATGACCCTAAGGTCCCGCTCGTTATCCGTACGCACGGCTCAGCAGTCTTACACCAACTCAGTCTTGGCGTTCAATCATATCACCAGTCGGCCTACAGTGCGGGACAGCCACTGGCGCATGGGAGAGAAAAGGGATAGAAAGCGGGAGGGAGAGTGAGAGGGAGGGCGAGGAGGAGGGGGGAGTGAGAAATAGGGAGAGGTGGAGGGGGGGAGGGAGAGAGAGTAGGAGAGAGGCCAACACTAAGGTGTCCCACTTCGTGAGAATAAGCCCGACGAACCTAAAACTGTCGTGACGTGCAAAAATTCGTGGTCTGGGGGATAATTCGGAAGGAGAGTCAGACTACAAAGGCTCTTAGACAATGTGGCTTTTGGGGTAACCCTCGCCTACGGACGCTTCGAGACCGAGCGCTTCTGTCTGAAGCCTGTTACGCGTGGAATGAGGGATCAGGTCACATGACGCATGCAGAAGGTGGGCAACTTGACTTTGTCAACGATTGTGTCCACGCCCATCTCCAGTTGCATTGACTTCCTCTTGTCGCACATGTCTGTTACGCTAGAAACAAATTTCCGTGCAATGTGCTAATGTCTACCCATAAATTATAAAATTTTTCTGTACAGTTGGCCCTAAAGAAACAACCTCTGCACTGCGATGATTGCAGAACTGGTAATCCTGCAAAGGCTGGATCAGAGACTACTCACCTTCCACGGTCTCCGGATACCCTTGAAGAAGTTGGGCAGGACCATGGGCAGAACGACGGCCTCCTTGAGGAGACGCTTGGCGTCCTCGAGTTCCGCGATATCATCCCACCGCACGTTGGGGTTGCGCTGAAGGATGTCGCGTTCCAGCATTTCCACTAAGTCGCTGTCAATCCCAACACCTTCGTATTTCCGCTCCTCGGGGGCGGCGTTATTCGAGGACCCTGTACCTCGAGCGTTCTTCTTACCCGCTAAATAATTTCAGGGGATGGCAGTAAAGTGTAAGAATGAGGATGGAGGCGGTACGCTCAGGGCAAGGCTGGTTAGAGCACGATTTGTATTGTGGCTAGGAGGGCTAACACAGCAACGACCTCTCTCCCTCCCACGCCTGGTGGCGAATAAGGGGCTTTTTAAGGAGCCAGTGCATAAGAAGGCGAACATCGATGGAGAGGCCTACATGGGTGTCGCAAAAAGCAATGGCGTTAGGTAAAACACGCCTGGTGATACCATTTTTCGATCCTTCATGAGACTGGACAGGCATGACGATTGGTAACGTTTGTATTGCATTAAATATTAACTGCCAAATAAACACTAATACTGAATTTGCTAGCTTGAAGTTTCGGTTCGTATTAGCTAGTAACGCTTACGATTGTCGCGACCTCTCATGAGGACCCTGACATACATTTCTGAGACAAAATGGAACCTTCAAAGGTCATCCTACAACTATGCAGGGTCGGTTACAGAATTTCCAGATGCCTTTGAAGTGTCTTCACCACAGCTGGCTGATGATGGGTTCGTGGTCAGTTGGAAGAGCATATGACTTCAAATTCCCCGATACGGGTTCGAGTCCCTAGTTTTGAAGAGCTTGATTTGGCTGCAACTAAAGTTCGAACATAGCTGTGTAGTTCCCCTGTTTTTCTTTTCTGATGCCTTGCTTTTCTCAGCTATTTTTTTTATTCAGGTAGTTGCGGGACCTCAGTAATGTTCGCTAAATAGGGTCCAGCTGGATCAGGCGCGGAAAAGGTTGACATTGGTAGGTGACTAGTGCAGCCAAGGCCACACACCAGGCTGGGGGGATACTCTCCAAAGAGACAACTTTTTATAATGCCAAACAGGACGGCAAAGTAGTGCCAAATATGTTTTTGTCGGTTCTTTCCGTGACAAAACCAGTCTCTTTTTTCGCCCCCATGACTGGCTGTTGTTAATCTCTTCAGATAGCAGAATTACCTTAGGGTGTGGCTGGGCCCCAGGCCACATTGCTTCCAGACACGTTCGTATAAGGCACAGACGGAAAAAGAGTCAAAACAGGGTTAGGGGGCGATCATCGCAATCTAGCACCAACCATACTGCTAGAGTAGCCACTTGGACGACAAGTAAGCAAACTTTGAGATTGAGAATCAATTCACAGCAATTCCGACGGAGATCCAATGCACAATATGTTATTACCGATAAAGACAAGGGAGACTGGAATGACCATTTTCGGCTTATTAGCCGTCGTCAGCCAGTCAATCCCAACTCCGAAGGGTGGAACATCTGCGGCTCGAACTCACGACCTGTTAGCTATAAATCCAACGCCTCTAACCACTGGGCCACTAGCCCGTTGCCCTGTCGGTTTTCCATCAGGAATATACAATGGTGGTGGCGCTCACCGATCGTTCTTAAAAAACTCACTCGTTCCATTGTGCCTTACGGGTTCTCTCTCGAGCCCAACCAGCAACCGCACAGCGGCGCATGATGGATGCAGAATGTTATTACAGATCCGTGAGCGCCCCTCTACCATTGTACATTTCCGATCGCAACCGACAGGACAAGGTGCCCGTGGCTCAGTGGTTAGAGGCATTTAACGTCTAACTGACACGTTGCAGGATCGAACCCCAGGTGTTCCACATTTTGGGGTTGTGCATGACCGGTTGACAACGGCTAATAAGCCAGAAATGGCCATCTCAGTCTCCCTTTTCTTTGTCGGTAATAACATCCTGCCCACGCTATGCGCCACTGCGCGGCTGCTGGTTGGGCTCGAGAGAGAGAGAGAGCCCGTAAGGCACAACGGGACGAGTGAGTTCTGAAAGAACGATCGGGGAGCACCCCAGTTTGTTCCAATCTGGTTGTAAACGTGCACCACTTAGGCATCTGGTAGCTATGATTCAGTAGAAAAAGAGCCCCATGGTCAATAAAAAGCTCGCTCTCACCCGGTAAAGACTTGCCGCGATTGGCTGAGGGAGCAGCCCGGTTAGCGGCCTCCCTCTGGGTTCGTCTTGGTGCACGCGAAGAGGGCGCCGCCGCGTTGGAGGGGGCGGAGTTTCCCGACTGGGCACCTGCTGGCGCCAAGATAGGCCTGCGCTCCAGCGGTGGTGGGGGCGGCCAGACACACGGATCCCGTGTCGGCTCCTCTGAGGTGTGGTGGCTTAACGGCGCCACCGTGTTGTCCTGGTTGGTTATCGTGAAACTGGACAGGGTCTTGTTGATATCGGCGACAAGTTCGCTTTCCTGCGAAATCTCCTGCTGTACCTAGGGGAAAAATGACAGAACGGTTCAATGTGGCGAGTAACTATCGGACATTACCGATTCACTTTTAGTTTGTCCTAGACGGCACTAGTTATAGCTGCCTTCCGAAATAAGAAGAACTTATTTCTGTGAGAAAAAACAGGATCGTCACTACATGCCAAAATAACATCTACAGAGCTCATCAATAAGTCTGTTTAATTATTGGAGCGTGGTACAGAAAATATTCTGAAGGCATTCATTTGACAAGTTTCTTCTTGACTGTACAAGTAACTCAGCAGTTATCCCAGGAGTGTCTCTGGTACCCTTAATATTTCTTTAAAAACTGCAGTGACGGGAGCAACTGAGTGAAAACACTACTATCCCCAACATTCATAGTAGTAAAAGTCTGCATATGACTGACGGGATAGTATGCACAACGCTAATACTCGCATGGACCAAAGGTGAAGGATCTGCTTTAAGGCCGTAAAACGGGACTAGGCATGATACGCATGAGAGACGCCCGAAGCTTGAGCGTGTCCAGGCAATATTATTAGCATTATGTGCAGGCCCTAATTAAAAGGACGCACAAAACTGCTAGTTAACATACAAAAACAATTCATTGAGACATCACGCTACCTTTCCTGTTCAATGCAAAGAGACTTGACGCATCGAATTAGCTGAAAACCGTCGCAACGATAGAGAAACCAGATACGTTAGAATAACCTCGTAGAATACGACTTCATATGTTAGAAGAGTAGACTACGGGCAGTCAGTGACTGATCTCATGAAATTTTATCCGAAATTTTGAAAAAAACGTTTTCGATTAGGAAGAATTACTTTAGTGGGGTCGTGATATTGACTATCGTGCAGCACGACTCCATGATACTTCAAACATGCCCAGATGTTGACATATGAAGGCATTTCATTTCGACTGCCTGTAAAAGTCGCATTCGGTAAAAATGGCAACGTAGGTGGTATGAATTGCTTTTTTGATTCTAGATGGCGTCATAAGTTCAAATATATTATTGAAAAAAATTTTAAACTACTCCTCCTTCTACTCACTTGGTAGCGAATCATGTCTTAGAATTTCATACCTGAGAGAAAGGTATCTTTCGGTTTTAAAAATATTTTAATTATGATATTTTTGAAGACTGTGTAATATACGTTCGAATAGCACCGTATCTGTCCGCTGACCAATGTAGCCCGTGAAGTATTCGACATGGCCCATATTTATTGCAAAATTTCGTGAGTCGTATATGGTATTTTCTTAACAGCATAGAAGAATGCATGGTGCTATTTACACGGAAAGTATATAGCTTGCCGACTGGAAGTGCTAAACACATTCAACGGCAGGTCGGTCTGAAAGGTCACTTCAATTACTCAGGAATCGAAAAGTTTCTTAAACCCTAAATGTATCCTTACTTCGGGCATAAAATTTGACAAAGTTAATTTCTACCAAATAAGTACAAGAGTAAATATTTCGGTGTGTGCTTTCTATAAAATATGTTTGAATTTATGAACACACTTAAAGTCGGTATAAAAACGCGTGCCACTTAAATAGTTGTTTTTTTACAATTTGTGGTCCTTGAAGGCGGCGAAAAAGGAGGGTATTGAAAAACCAACACATCGGCGTATTGGAAAAATCTTGGGGTTATGTCGCACGATGACCAGTATTACAACCCCATTGAAGTATTCCTTCCTAAAGGTAAACGTATTTCAGAATTTCGGTTAACATTTCATGCCATCGGCCACTGACCATGGCAAGTCCTCTTTTCTACTGAAGCCATATAAGTCAAATCCTTACAGGATGTACGAAATTCATAGGTGGCAAAAGTGCAGCGAACACTCGACTCTTGGAAGGTATTTGATCGCTGGTTATGGACAACTTCACAAACAGAACAGTCTGTTTACCTAACCAGAAAACAAATTTTCTCGGCGAAGGATACTTAAAATGCCGTCATGTGTCTGATGCCGGATAGGGTTCTTGCACTAAGGATGCTAAGTACTTTAATGGTCCGTTCTGAGTGCAAATTAACTTGCTCCTCGGGCTTGGCTCAGACTTCGCGTTCTAAGTAACTTGTAAGGGTTTCCGTTCTGCCCTCCAAAATTAAATCCTGGATATTACCCAATGCTTAGGTTAAGATAAAAATCATGCAAATGGCATCTGCTTATTCGAACAAACCAAGCATTAGCCCACCCGGACTAACATAGTCATGCATCTTAGCGAGAGAGGAAGAAGATGGACCTGTTGTCCTTTCCTGATATTAAGGTTATCGACATGGCGCCTAAAAAATAAGTTGGGAGGTCTTGGTGAGTACTGACTGGGGCCTTGGAGGACCATGGTAATGACAAATCAAATCGATTTGATTTGTCATTCCATGGTCCTTCGATGCTCCAGTTTGTAGTCAGCAAGACCTCCCGAGGTCTTTCGTCTGGTCTGACGTTTTTCCTTTCTGTTCGCTCATAGGTGTCAATATCTTGTCACTCCGGTTTGAATGATCATTCAAACCGATTACGCACGTAATCGGAGTGACAAGATATTGACACCTATGGGCGAACAGAGGGAAAAACGTTAGACCAGACGAACGACCACGGAAATTTGACGATAAATAAAGTCAACGTGAGCAAGACAGGATAGGATTCATGCGAATCAGAGGAGAATAACAAACCTGTATCCATTGTTGTCTCATCAAATAGTCTTTCGTGACCAAAAGGTGTTTTTTGATTTGTGCGAGGCCGCAGGAATAGAACGTAAGCGCGCTCTCATAGCTGCCTAATAAACTAAGCTCTCTAGCTTGTCTTATGTTTGATGATATATCTGCGAAACTAGCCATTAACGACGACAGCCACCAGACCGACGAAACTCCAAAACAGCCTTGAACCAAGATCTTGGAAGAACCGCTGTTTAGAGTTGCGTACTAAAAGTTAAAGAAGGCCTTCATGACCGCAGGCGACTTCGTTCTTTAGACACTTTCTCTACCCTCTCATTACCTGCTTGATATGCTATTAAAGTTTGATTTTGGCATAATTTAGAACCAGAAAGAGTGGCACAATTTGAGATTGAGTGACCATGGTCGTAGACTTTATAAACGCAAATGGGAATAATAACACTAAAAAACGATGCACATACCAGTTCATCAATTACTCGAAACACACAAAATGTCTTTATGAGTGTCAGAAAAATTGTTCACTGTATCTTCAAGAACTGCTAGTTAGTCTGTGACCAATCTGCGACGAGTTTTACCTGAATTCGTTTTCAATTTGTGGAACTCGCGCTCCGTCCATTAACCTCAATCTTCACACTCTTACCGTGACCATATTGTGAAACAAGCTAAAATGGATATGGAAGCAGTGGCTTACTGAGCTGAAAATTGCACCAATATGTGCCAAACAGGACATGACTCCGTTGCGTCAAATTTGAATTAAATGAGGCAGACATATATCCATTTAGTATTCAATTGGTCGGATTTCTTCGCCGTTTAGCCAGCCTCTAACGTCCAATCATTAGCGCGTCGTGATGACTAAAATGCTTTCCATAGGTTTTTCGGACAAATAATTCTTTACATGGCAGATATGTCCTCATCACTTTCTCTTTCGTTTTCTCTGCACCCTTGTCCACTTGGGCAAAACCTACTTTTAGTCAGATTTCATGCCATGACTGGGATGATTTGATGCCATAGTCTAACGCGTATCACACAGGGTTGAGATTCCACGTAAGTGGGATTTGCATACGGACCACTTTACGAATGAGCCGTCGAAGCATGGCAAATGCCACATAGGGAAACAGAGTTATATCGTCGACTGGCAACCTTCAACATCACGCCCCACAGCACGTTCTCACAGATGCAATCGACGTTTACGAAGAAGATTCTGGCCACAGTTTACTTTTTCATGTTAATTTAGAAAGGTGCCAGTATGGTTGCGGAGTGTGTCCACCATGAGTGTACACATTGCACGCATTGAAGTTCTTGACAGATGAGGAGGAGAAAATGCTTCTTTGCTTCGTATTGATAAGAGGGTATATGGGTCCAGTGTAAGAAAAAAGTATTTTTTAAACACGCACAAAAATTATATTAGTAACATACAGCAAATGTGCTTTAATTGTTTGGTTCACTGCAAAGGACGTTTCACGTTAAAATATACAGGGAACGATTATTTTTTGAGATCTACATGCACCACGTAAAATCCTTCTCTAAAAAGCACCTTACAGAATAGAAATAACGGCAAAATATGGGCGTTTCCTGCCCGTATTTGCTCCTTGAAAGAAGTCCTGGTCCCACTGCAGAACGAAAATTAGCAAGACCAGATGACGCAATACTGGGAATGATGGTTACCACTGGTTTGTATTTCTGAAATTAACTGGCAAACTGTGCTGACGAGCCAGTCAAGGCATGTTGAGATCTGATCATTTTATTTGAACTTGACAAAAGACTATTTTCACGTATTCAAAAACAAATGTTGGGTGAATAGCAAGCTACTCGAACGGATTTGGCTTGCATATATTACCAGTGCGATATTCTTCCTGCTCATCTATCTGTTCACAGAATTTGTCTGTAAGTGTTTTTATCAACTTATTAGGCTAGAATCGAATTGAAATCCTCAGCGCATGCCTTCCTATTCGACCTTCGTTTTAAATTACACGAAGGAGGTGGTACGAATTGTTGAGCTTGACACATGTAGTTTGAATTTCAACTCAAACTGCCTATGCTTACTCTCCGTAGTGATGCTAGTTATTGAACTTGATACAAGTATGCAAAAGTATTTCCGGTTTCATATGTTTCCCACTTGAGGAAACTAAGTAAAATCAGGTGGTTAAGCAGCGGTTTAGATGTTGTCCTTTGAACTTGATGCATGGACGCGCGCGGGCTATCAATTGCTATCAGGTTACTTGCCAGTTTTCACCATTTTTGCACAAGTCAATATAGGTGGCAGGTCTGAAAAAATCAGAATACCGACTCTAAACTCGCGGAGATGTGAAGATTTATGACTGACACTTTTTTCTCTCGCTAAATTTTGACTTGTAGTTATTAGAATCATGCTGCTTCGTATTGGATTGACATGCCACGCAGTATATCTGGCGCAAGAGATTTAAAATGCCGTCTTACTCTAACGAAAGTACACTCTGAGGCCAATATACATACTGCCAAGCGTTCTTTTAAACCTCAAGACTTATGTGGTTTATTTCGATCCGAAGGCCGAGTCTCTGTTCTTATCCGCTCTCTCTGATAACCAACGTTGCTACTCGTATGCTGAGGAAGAGTCCCATTTTAATCACAAAGCATACGAAGTTTTTCATCGGATGCTTGTTTTTCTTTTCGACATGACGATAGACTGCCCGATATGTTCTTGGACAGTCCCTCTAATTGTGCCCCACAGAAGTCTCCGCCTCAGAGTTCGCCGAAAGTTTCGATCTTACTGAACGGATCTGCCATTGGACCACCCTAGCGGCTTGCCAAAATTTGCGGCCATACGCCTACTACTTAAATACGACCAGCCGGAAATTGGAGATCCCCGTACTCTCCTCGGCCACGCCTGACTGCCAGATAAAGTACTTAACTCCTGAGACCTCAAAATCCGTGGAACTCTCACTCCTGCTCTCGTCCTTGCACTATTGATACCGGTCGGTTTTATGATAATTTTACTTTGAAAGGCCTGGCGCGACGTTCCACCCGCCTTTTCAAATTCTCAGCCTGAAGTTCATTAGCTGCGTATGGACTTCTATCGAATTTTAAAAGAAACTCAATCCTGATTGACCTTTTATTTTTACGACACCGGGAGTGACAGATGTCTTCTAACCTACAGTAACGCATATCTCATTGTCATCTTTACGGTATTGAACGCATTATGGCTTATGAAATGCTATTTGGGTTCGATGAAGAAAGGGATATTACCTGAGGCAATATGTACTGTTGAAGTATTTCGATACTTATTGGCTTATTTTTTGAAGTATAATATAGGAAGTACCGTTAGGACCGTCATTTAAAATTAATAATGATAATAATAATTGCATTTAGTGCCAGTTTACAGACGCTGTCAAAGAAGGATGAAGCACGGCTCGGACTAGCGGTGAAAAAGCCCCTGAGGAAAGAAGTATAGGTGATGTTGTTTTTGATAGTTTGGATGGTTTAGGAGAAAAAACTGCTGCCCGTGAAATGACTCCAGTCCGGAAAGGGAAGGTTTAGCACTGCATCGGCTGTTTTCAGTCTTTTTTCGTGAAATTGAGACCACCAAACAGAGTGCATGGGAAAAACAGTTTTTCGCCGTCGACTGAGGAAATTGTCCGTAGTATTGCGGGCCATAGAGCCAACACCATCTCGCACAGGATGAGACCGGGCAGGGGATTAGAGACCACGAACACCCTTACCACGGAAGATTAATTCGGCCTATCTCATGGTATGCTGGTTGAAATTATAAGATGTGTTTTCGAATGGTGAGGTTTGGCTGTAATCTGCACCGAAAGACTTTCTGCTGCTATTAACAAGGGCTTTGGTATGTTGCTCGTCCTTTCTGACCCGTAGATGGTGAAATCTACAAAAATCTCCAGGTGTCGTTTACTATGTGGTTATAAATGGGAACACTTATTTTGTGAAAACAGATGTGCATATTGTTTTTAGTTAAGGTACGCTCTACATACTTTTAAACTTTATTTATCCCGATTAAGTCGATAATAAGAACTGAAGTGCACATAATAGGCCTATAATGAAGACGCGACGTTACTTGATTTTAGTTAAACGTTTGAGTGAATTGTCGCATCTAAGTCACCGTAAGCGGTTTCAATAGAAAACAGTGTCCCGCATGATCGGTAGTCGGGCCTGCTATTCCTCTTGGTATTCACGAATGACTGCACCATGGCGTTTCATTATTAACCTGCCGTGTGAGCTGATGACATAAAACGTGGAATGCAATCAAAAGTACTGATGTTAGGGCGAAATGACAAAGGTGTATTGGCAGAATACCCGTCTGGTCTGCCAAGCGTGTCTGAACTTTGATGAAACCCTTCATGTAACTTAACCTATGAAAATCGGTTGAAGATATTTCCTAGTCTAACACGGTCACGGCAAAGGCGTAGATCCTGATTTTCAAGGACAGGAGAAGTATTGTTTTCTTTCGATATCCCGTGACAATAAGGGTATATGCTCGGTTAATTTAACAAAAATCATTACTTCGGGTCACATAATCCCAGGAAAAGGAATGAAATTTGAAAATCGTCTGCACTCGTGCCAACTTTTCCCCTTTGGGCTGCCCTCGTATTGCGAGCCACATTTTTCTCTTGGTAAGCTCGGTTATATCAGGTTTTACCATTCACTTCTTGATTCAACTGTATTTACAACAATCTAAAAGTCAGTAAAACTTTGGTTCCGCTACTTAACGACCTTTTCGCAACTAATCCAACAGCGTTCGGACGGCCAACAGATGACCGTTTCATTGGTGGAAATGACTTTTCTAAGTTGCGATGCATGAGCGGGCATGAGCGAGAAAACTGGTTAAGCACTGGAGTCACTTCTTTATTTTTCTGGGCTTTCGAACTTATGAATGAGTTCATTTTCAGTGATATAACGGCAACGGAACAAGCGGCAGTCCTAGGGGGCATTTGCCAATCAGCGACCAGGGAAACAAATGTTGCGGTGGCTACGCAGGGCTTTGTATACCGGTGTCAAATCAATATATTGATTGGTTTGACACACGCGTT